CGGATGATACCTAACAAACATTATAGAACTCTCCATCCAACTACAGATTATACATTCTTTTTGAGTGTGCATGCAGTATTCTCCAGGATTGACCACAAGCACAGCATTCTTCTTAATAGATCATATGAGTACACGAGAAACCACTGGATTGTGTGTGCACTTTAAATGCATCAATTTTATGACATGAAAATCATATTTCAATAAAGTTGTTAAAAATGTTTCTTGCCACAAATGCTATCATTTTGTAAGTTGCCACCAGATCATTTACTTCTCCTTTGACAAATATTTTCATAATTCCTTTTTGAATTTGTGTTATCATCAAAATTCATGCTGAAGAAATCAAAAGCTCATTTTTTTTTCTTTCTTAGAAGGCTGGTGGTTCAAACCCACTAGCCACTCCTCGGAAGGAAAGTTGGGCAATCTACTTCTGTAGTGATACTGCCTTGGAAATCCAAGAAGGGGTCGCTATGAGTCGGCTCTAACTCAATGGCTAATTACTTTAAAAAATAGCCAGCGCAACACAACACACTGCCGCCGAGTTGGATCCAACTCATAGCGACCCCTCCTTGGGTTTCCAAGGCAGTATCGCTACAGAAGTAGATTGCCTAACCTTCCTTCCGAGGAGTGGCTGGTAAGTTTGAACCACCAGCTTTCTGGCTAGCAGTCAAGTGCCTTAGCCATTATGCTACCAGAACTCCTTATTATTTGAACAGTACGTATATTTGGAAAGGAGTATTTACCACATTATTACCTGTTCTGTTGATGATCAATAAGCGAGTGAGGGGATCATGTGGTTGTTGTCCAGGGGCCAGGAAGTACATATGAGGAGAAAGTTCCCAAGTGTAACTGTTTTGATTTATATTTGTGAAGATATACTCCAAAAGAAGAGGGGAAAATCCAACACCTAGAATCAATAGCCTACATGGAAGAAAATTGACAATGTGAACGCATAGACATTTCTCAATCTCTTAAAAATATGAGATAATAATTTAGTAAAATCAAGAAATTATGAAAATTATATACATATATCATTTCTTGAGTATTTTTTGTATCTCTAAATTGGAGGTGATAAGATGTAGCATCATCGTTCATTCATTTCTTTTCCTTGTCTTGGCCAGTGGCTATCATAATTTCATGGACTATGTCTCCGT